TAACTAGGTTACTCGGTGGTAATGTTTTGTATTCGACAAGAATACACTTAGTTCAAGTATGGTCATTGAAAACGTTTAGTTGATTTCTACACGCGCTGTTTCGCATGAAGTGAAGTAGTTTTGCATTACTGTCATACCCATTACTTTTTTAAATTACACAGCCTGGCATTTTTACTCTTGGCATATGCATTTATTATTATTTCTCACATATTAATATCTATTGCAAATCTACTATATATTCATTGGACGAATCATCAATATGGTTTTTGACTACAACCTCGCGTAATTTGCTACATCAGCGGAACCTGTATGTATAAGCGTAGTATACACATATAACGACCTTCTGTCTGCAAATTTTTTTTTGCTGCGTTTGAAATTAAATGTGCAGGTCTGGTACTGAAGGACTCGTCCAGTTGGTATTTGAGACCTTGTCTATTATCAATTCGAATATCATTTGTCAACGATCGGAAGGGGCGGCTTTCCGTCGCCGTAAAGATTGGAGAAGATGACGGGTTTAAAGGACCTCCTATTTAAGTACTTGTGGGGCGGCTTTAACGACCGTTGATATCTTCGGCCTGGCTTTGCCATGGAATAGGGTGATTTTTGCTTGTTTTGTTTGTTGTTGGAAAATTCCGTTTATTCAATATAACTAAGCTAAGTACAGATCATTGCCTCTTGTGTAAGTATACCACACTTACAGTCTCATCAAATGCAAATTATGATCTTTTTCAGATCGAAATCTGGCTTAATTTTGGGCTTGGGCGTATCTTTCCAAGCGAGTCATTTTTTTACTATTTTATATCGAAGTAGAGGCAGTATTTCTAGTTACCCGTTGAAAATTTATATCGAGATCTGCCGTTCGGGCTGTATGCTGATCGGAGCCGGACTAGATCCGTTCTCTTGAGCGTTTCACCCAGTCTGTGGGTACCCAAGCTCCGGAGTTCTGATAAAATGTCATACGTTCAAGTACTTGTCAATACGCAAGTGTTCGCAGCTTATCTTCTCGGCAAAATTTCGAGTTCCTAGTGACCTTAGAACCTCATCAATCATGGATAACCACCAGCGAGTTTGGACACCTTTCAAATTCAAAGTCCTACGATTTGGAGCAGCCTCCTCAATTATAGAAATCTCTAGAATAGAATAATACGCTACAAATATTCAGGGTTCCTTCGACAACTTCTTGGGCAAAAGGCGAAACAGAGCGGGTATGAAACTTCAGCCTAACCCCGAGGATGAATTTACTGCATGAACACAGCAGTGTATAATCATTTCATATATACAGTTTGCAGGTATTATTCTATATCGGTTGTTTAGAAGTCTAATATAGGCATAACAATATTAATAAACGTACTTAGTGCTACATACTAAATTGATGCTATCCACTGCAGTAGTCACCTACATCCTGAAGTTTCCAAAGAGGTCAAGGTGACGTCTTTAATACAGACTGCTTCATTCTCATAATTTCTAGTCAAGTATGTACTTTTTTTTAAGCATCGCGGGCACGTTAATAAATTAGCACTTTTACTCAGTGATCGATTAAGCAGCTAAACAGCCAGCAATAACTATCGATTAAAATCAAACACTGATCTATATTTTGCGCAAGAGTGCGCGTATTCCACGTAGAAATTTTATCCTGTGCTTGTTGCTCCATCAAATCTAGTATAGGTATTGAAGATCTATACTGTGGTCTCCCTAGTATATGTATATTTAGCATTCCTGTGTCACTTTGGACTCATACCTCTAAAACGTTAAGAAATCGAAGGTTTAAGGATCATCTTTATATATATATTGCTAATCATACACAGTTAATAGCAGAAGGTAGATTTTATATAATTATACAGCCAAATACCATGGTGTGCACCGTTAAGGGCGATCTGCTATACTGCTATCTAAAACATCCGTTTGTTTCTATTCTAATTAGTCATCATTGCCATTGTGTTTACGATAAATGGCACGTTGCTAGTAGTAACTCAGGATTTATTATAAATATGTCGGGAAACCTATGATTGTTCTACTACTTTGTTGAGGGACAGTACAGTCTCTTCTGCCGATGCGATAGTTGAATGTCCCAATCATAATCAAACAACTATTCTCATTACCGCAATTTTCTGTTATCATTATCACTATGGTTGTTTAGCGGAAGAATGAGTTATTGTCAGAATGTTGACGAGCCTGTGGTGTCCAGTAATAGTTAGCAGGGTGGGTGTCTTTGTCTTTATGTGGCAGTCATAGCAAAGAAAAAGACAAGAAATGACTAAAGGTACGTTTGTGTGAGTTCCTGCTGCAGACGACGCTGTCGGGCTGATCCCATCATACATTATGGATAGGAAAGTTCCGGTGGGTCCAACACTGTGTTCGTCTGCTGGATAATTCAGTCTTTTGCAGCAAAGGGCAAGCGAGAAATGGTCTAACGTTCATCCAAAGCCAATGATCACATTAAAGGCGAATTCGAATTGACGCGTCATTTATTTATTCTTATTGTCATTGCCATTGCTATCATCGGATCACCGCAAAGTTGAACTCAGGCCAAAAAGACCTTTATTCAAAGGGATATATACATAACACATTTGCTCAAGGTATGCGTCCTCGCTGCACGTGGCCACCTTCTCGACAACAAATAATTGATTCGCTCTGTTCTGGTCAAACTGAGTACTCAGTTGCAAGCTCTTCGTGAATTCGTACCTTGAATATGATAACAATTGAGTTTATTCAGGTTATTAAGGGACGTACAAGAAACACTATCAACAGAATTGCTACATTTAGCTGGTAGCCCCCTGGCGAATTTTGTTGGCTGTACCTTTTTGAAGACTCCTATTTGGGTCTGGTGGCTACACTTGGAAGCAGCATAGAAACGGAGTTTTTAATATTTGAACGTCGCAATTGGGGCCCATGGTAACGAATGTCCATCTTTTCGTGGTGGACTGAACACAAGTGATATGGAAAAGTTTTAATTTCGCTATTAAGATTCCGACATAGTTTGACATGTCTTTTAGTTAATGCGATGACATGCTGTTGTCGAATGCTATAACTACACGTTCCAGTAATCTGCGTGTTATTTCGACTGTATTGTTACCATATGTACGTACGTCCTGCTTATTTAGAACAGACCCGTAAATCATCAGACTCCTCGCTCACCAGTAATTAGTTGATAAGCTGCGCCGCTAAAATATAAAAAATGGACCCAAAATAAATTCTTGAAGAATGACTGGACCACCAAGAGGGTAATAGATGTTTTACATTACTTACTTTTAGAAGGTTTTATTTTATTTATAGTCCTGTTGTCAACTCGATTATCTTGATGACCGTCTGATTAGAGGTGCACCTTGCTAATACACGTGAAATTAAAGTATACTGCGTAAAATCGTCCTTGATTTTGTTTACTTCCGTAATTGTGTACTGTAATTATGTGTTAAGTTGCGATGAACTTTCATTTTGACTGTTCGTCGTTTTCATAATTATGCCCTATAAAAAGGACTTTTAATTAAGCTACAAAAATTTTCAGAATATAGTCCTTTCAGCAGGCCGGTAGTTCTCGACGATTGCCTTTTCTCCTTTCTACAAATAGGCATTGCTGCATAAATGGTCAAGACAAGGCTGGCAAGATACCATTCTCGTATGAACGCTTGGGAGTGAGCACTAACGACTCGACTACAAATAGGCAATAAATGCAATGGAAAGGAACGATGGACCGGGTGCCCTTTTACAACTGCTGCCCAGGTTTCTCGTCAACGTTTACACGTATCCTAAAGATTGACCATCTGTTCTCTTAGGGTATGCATTTATATTCACACTGATTATTAGATCATGACTTGACGTTTACACCAAGCTATCACCAGCTAGCCGGAAGAATGCTATGTCGTCGGGAATTATTTTTTTTTGTAACAATAAATGCTGAGCTTAAGATTTGAGGTTCACTTGTACGCAACGCAAAAACGTGGAATATCACAAGAAACTTGCCAACGAAGATAGGCAAGATCCTGGCAACGTCGACAGGACGTTGCGTTTTTTTTGGCATTGATTGTTCCGGGCAGGTATTAGCGAAAGAGATAAGTGGCAACCACACGATCGTCGCGAATCATCCTAAATCCTTAATGTTCACACACAAACATGAAGCTTGAATACCTCATGCAGTCTCTAAATCCAGTAAGAATTACGACTTAACACTGCGTCAGTATCGAGCGTCACGAGGCCCTAATGATCGATTTTTATACAAAATCGTTGCCGGCGAATACAAATGGTGTCTGTACGTCAACATGAATTATAGGTCGGAATGGGTAGCTCCGAGAGAAAAACGAAAGCCCAGGGCCTAACCAGACCTTTATTTAAAAAATGTTGTGTTTTGCGTCATGGTAAAACCGCATGGGCTTGATTCAGTAGAAATTGCTTCCTACGAATCAAACAGTTATTCGGCACATTTATCTGGTCCAGTTACATCAAGTCAACTAAGCTATATAAGAAAAAAAGTCCCGATAAACGAGGTCAGTTGATCCTGCTCCGTGACGATGCGAGGTCACTCATAGCAAACGTCGTCAAAGTTGCCCTGTTGGACTTCAATTGCAAGGTTTTGTTGCATTCTCCGAACCTTACGCTAACGGATTTTCACCTCTTTCGTTTCCTGGGTATCACTTCTGTAGCCTTACCTTCGACACGGATCAAAAACTCAAAACGCGATTGGAAAAATTTTTTGGCTACCTTTTGGCAGAACAGCATACGTCATATCGTAGGAAGATTGGAGAAAATCGGAAACTGTTACGGGGGATTGTTACTGCAATAAAAAAAAAAGAAGCTTAAAAACTGTCTAGTCTAATAAGAAAAAAATATTAACTTGCTTGCAAAAATTAATGCAAATTTTTGTTCGTCCTCAATTAATGCTAAAAATCTATGTAGCTTGTTTTGACACTACGACTGTCTACTGCAGTCACTCACACAAAGCTTCTAACTACCTAGAATTAAAACAGCAATGCACTAATGACCGGCGCTTGTTTTTTTTGTGATTTCAGGCGACATCACTCAAAAGGGTTATGAAAAAAAGCGTCGCCGACTACTGCAGCCCTTCCTCGACACCACCGAATCATCCGGTACGCTGGTATCATTATTAGTACTTAGTTTCACCTTAAACGAGAACCCTCAAAACACATGTGCAAGAATGTTTGCACATGCAAAGACTATACATACAGCAGTACTTATGAAAACTGGCAAACGAATAGGATCTTAAAAGTATCCATATACATATATATGTAGACCCCTAAGAACCTGCTCTTTTGCCAGTATACATATATATATATTGTAACGCAAGTAGAGGCCTTTTTTTTTAATTAAAAATAGCGATTCAATGAAACGTTTGCACTGAAATGCACAAAAAATTAAAGTCAATATGTATTCGTCGTCATTCACTACCAGCAGAAATTTACTTATTTTTTCTCAGGCAAAATTTTAGGTGCGGCGTTGAACTCGCCCGATTAGATTTCAAGACTATGTTTTCTGTATGGCTGTTAATTCTATTTGCCTCTGATCAAAAAAGATAGTTGCCTGACATTGTTCTGAAAAAAACATGGCTGTCCCTATCGGGTTTTTCTTGTTGGTCGACCCAGTCGATGCAACTGAGTTATATAGAGATTCTTCTTAAGAACTTCGCAGCGTAATAGAGATTCTTCTTAAGAACTTCGCAGCGTATAACCCCTCCACGGGTCCTTACCGTCTTGTCAAATGCGGTTCATGCTGTTTTTACGACGGAATCTTAACTTAGCTATGGGCATATCTTCTGGAGCTATTCATTGCGCTTTCTACTTTATGGCTACGAGAAGACACGATTCTTCGTCACCGGTAACATTTGTGCATAGCAATTTGACATTATGGCAAATTTCTTGTCACCGGGTAAAATGATAAGAACCAAAAAGAGGCCTTTGTGTGTTTCTCCCGTTTGCTTAATTTATGAGGCAGCCAAATTCCTAATTTTAAGTAAATCCTATTGTTTGGAAGCGCCTGTCCATATTTATGACTTTCGGTTTCCCATTCACGTTCTTGCTGCATTCACGAGTTATGTAATGACTTCGAGTTTAAATTGAAACTCGAAATTGAGTAGTATTATTGTTCTGTTGCCACTTTTTTTAGGTAATTCTTGGCTTAACTTCAGGCTTCAAATATCAGTATGTCGGAATGCAAAAAACGTCCCTGACGCTTCTTATTCGTCTTTTACGCACGTCAAATTTTCGAGAATTCTATAACTAGGAGCATTCATTCCAAATAAAGTTAAAAAATGGCATGGAAACGAAAGGTTAAAAGAGCGAACTCAATACGCAAAAACGGCTATTATCTTTTCCACGACCCTGTACATTTATAATATATGCGATTCATTATTAACTATAACATTATAACTATACTACACTTAATTGATTAATTATATTTAAAAGTGCGAAGTAGTTTGTTACGCATGGTATGATGTCAGTGGCGAACAAACATCTACATAGCCTTTAAATTCTACGCTAAATAACTGAAAATCGATATCTGAAAATTCAAAATCCATATGCTTAATTTAGAGAATATCAAATCAAGAAGCTTTGGATATAATAAATAGTTTGTTCCCTGTATCTTAAAGCCCTTCACGATGTCTGCAACGAGCCAGCCTTGCATTCGCAGCTTTCTGCTAGAACCTTGAAGCCACATTCGGTGTTATCGAAAAACAAGACGATCTCGTTTGTTGATACTTCTCTCACATGAAATCTATTGTGATCGTTTAGCTAATGAGTTACTGCAATAGAGAATATGAAGGACATCGCATAGGGTTGTCTCTATTTCCACAGTACGTTTGCTTGGTCAATGGGTTCTACTACAGGTGGATTGTAACCATACGCTTCCAGCATCGCTTAGGCATGCGACTATCTCTAATTTCAGTAAAATAAGAAATCGCTCAGTTCAGAGTTGTTAAAAGGCATCTAGGACTCGAGTGTGCATCTGATTAACAACAAAGGGATAAATCTGCAACCTCTCGTTTAAGATGGTGTTCAAGATGCTGCCTGTCATCCCAGTGATGTAGCATCATTTGTGTTTTTAAACGTAGCTTGAGTTTACAGATACACTATGGAGTTTTCTAAATGCTGGTTTACAATAAACTATTGCTCTAAATGTATAACACTAAATATACGTAGCTTTCAATCTGTTGTGGAAGACAAACTCACAAGTCCGCTGCCCATCCCATCATGTCGTAAAATTTGACTTTCTTGAAAGATTACTCCATTATTATTTCATCTGTGTATTGCAAGTGGTGTTCTAGTGAAAGAGCAAATAAAAATACCAACCCTTTCGAAACAAGAAACAGGCTAGTTATAATGAAAGAAAGTATTTTCCTATTAGATAGGGATAGCTTGTGCCTTAAAAATACATAAATACCTCTCAATTTGTTCAGAATATGGTCCGTGTGGACGTGGTATAGTTATGAGTCGCTTAATTTCATTGCAGTGTATTTTACGCCACTTTTTTTCGTTTTACAGTTGCATGATTATCGCGTACAGCGTTAACACAGATCAACACGTCATTATTCAGCTTGTCGCTGTTGCTTCTTTGATGTAGACGCACGTTGGATTTGCTTATAGACACGTTAACCTGCACGTGTGTGTAGAAGCAATTGTACAAACATGTGTTTTGAAGCTGAAACAGTGACTTGGCAGGTCATAGTTTACAGGTGTAACTAATACAGATGTAGTTTTACCTCATCTATGACTTCATTTGACTTCTTAACTAATAATGAGTAAAATTAACGTGAGGTTATCTTGATTGTATAGACATCGAACGTTATCTTACCTTCACTTATCGACATAAATCTACTCAGTATGTTTACCATTACTGCTGTTACAAACTTTCAGCTCTTTTGGGTGCAGCAGCCCCAACAAAGCCATCGTCGAAAATCCCGGTGGCCACAAAGCGTTCGCGTGTGACGCGTAGTGAGTCTCGGTATCATTCAGAGGCTCGGCATGAAGCGGTGCAGCATGTCCTAGCCCAAGCCAAGGCTCAGGAGAAGACGACCCGTGCGCCTATGCCATCCAAGAGAAAGAACTCACTCGCATCATCAAAAGTATCTCATCAGCAGCATCACAACAATGTCTACAGAAATCTACAGCACGGTGAGAACCATTCAAATACGTTCTATATCACGAGAATCATTATTACATTTGAACGATGTGTTGAAACAAAGCATATGTCATAAATATTATAAGTAAAAAAGCTCTGTTTAATTATCTTTACTTGACACATGAGCTGTACTATTGCCACTTACGGCTACTGCAGGTTATATAAGCTTCATATGTTCAAAATGAGATCTTATCGTTAGTAGCTTCGGCAATGATCTTAAGAATCGAATGGGTTTTCATCATTGAATCAGAGTTTGCCCTCAACGTCCACAAATAAGATAGCGCAGAAGAAGCACAGAGAGAAAGAAAATATCACTGGATGGCAGAACTGTCAAAACTTGCGCAGTATTCTTTTTGGAAATCATAGCTTCGTCTTTCTGCGCCGGGAGTATTGACCGCCATACCTCTCCAAACTGATGCGATTTGTAACGACAGGGAATATGAGAGGCAACGAATCGGAAGAAATTGTGTATAATCTTATAGAAAGATCTGAGGAGCGATAGAAGCAAGCCAACGACGACGACCTGACACATTATTTACAGTGCGCTAAAGTATTGTCCGTTTCTGCTGCGAGAGACAAAGATTATTCGTGTTCCTATCGTCTTATCTGTGTGGCTTTGTTTGAATCAGAATCGACCGGTGCTAATTTCGACAAGTCTATTCTTAGCAGATTTAAGTAGTCATGAATTATGAGTTTTCTTATTTTATAGGTTTGATCCTTAGTATTATATGCATATTTCAGATTGTCGTATTATAGTCACATTAAAAATAACTCAAGAAGTATAGCGAGAATGTCGTCAAAGTGAGCATATCTGTACCGGTTCTGACTGATGGATTAAACGCTTTTTTGTTGTAAACCATTCAACACAGCGGATAGTTCATCAGACGAGGACAGCGCAACGGGACGACCTTTGCTGTCATCATCGCCTTCAACAGCTACCTCACACGAGTCTCTTCACACACCTCAAGCAGGACCTCATGCAGCTGGTGGCGGTATCGGCGCCATAATCGGAAATTCGGGACAGCAGCAGCAGCAAACTACAATTGCAGACCAGCCACCTCCATTGCCACCCACACCTCGTCCTCAGCGTACGTATATTTTCGCCTCTCTATACATACATATATATAACACCTGTTTTGAATAGATCTAGCAAGAGTAATATGTCTACGACAATTATCTACTTTTTAGATTAATATTAGCTGAATGTTGGCTAGTGGCATGGTTTCTAAAAACTCATCAACTATTGTTGTACTAAGATAAAGATTACTTACTTAAAAGATACTACTTTTCCTAGCTCAATTTGTTAGGTCTTCACATTAAATAATGAAAAAATCATATTACGTGTTAGATAAATCCTTTTTCAAGAGTCTGAAATTAGAATTCAGTTTAAATGCGCCTATAGCAAGCTAAAGAGTTTTTTTTTTTATACAAAGGCTAGTCATTGATAAAAGCATCTTGTATCAAAACGCAGGCCGATTTAACATTATTGACACTCTAGTTACACTAATGATTGATAGGGCAGATTGACCGCAGTTGCCCAAGCCTCTGCTTAGGATCTGGGCCGATACATTTGAGGTACTCATTGTCCTTATATTTTCAGTTAGTAAAACATGCTAGATTTCTGAATCTAAGTGGTAACGGTATAGTCCTAAAACTTGGTTACTAGTTTAAAGGGTACTGAGAGGGAAACAACGCTCAGTTTGTGTTAACAAAGCAGCCGATGGTCACGCCACCAAGCTGATTCCCCATGAACACCTGTGAAGCACAATACGTACCCTTTGTCCAAAAAGCCTGTTATCTTGTTTAATGTCTATAAATCATTTGTATATAATTCGTTCTGGTATTGGATCTGAGAGGCGTGGAGAATCCATTGTGATAGTCGAAAAGATTGTATTCGTAGCCGCGGTTAATATCCTCACGGCGATCACATCACGATTCAAAAGCGTCAGTAGAGAGAGAAATATCATAGTAAGCTCAGCTGGTTAAATTTAGTATGTCACCTGAAAGAAAATCTAGTTTAAAATTTTAATATCCCTTGCCCTTGACCTTCCGGTTTCTGTTCATAATGCGATTGTTAATTAAGATATTGAGCGACGATGGCATTTGGTTTGCAGGAAGGCCATTCTTTGGAGAAATCCTTGGTATCTGTTAAGGTTCCTAGGTTTCCACTTGTTACTGATTACGACGTTTCTACGGGAGGCTTTCCATGTACAAGCTCACTTCACAGAAGATAACTTTTAGGGTTAAACTATATAATAAGAGTAATATTTGACTTCGTATTCATATGATGGCGAGTCAGCCAGGAGAATCACTGCTATCCACGTTTGTGATTATGACAGGATGCATATTATTACTGAATTTAACTATGGAGTTTATATCAATAGGAGCATCTGTTGCTAATTTGTGATGTGCAAGCGCAATGAGGAGGTACAATAGAACCTCTAACACGTTCCAACAACAAACTTTGCAGCAAGTATGTGACAAGTCTACCCTTTGTATCAAGTTAAGAACTCCAGCGATTCTCACTTGTGTGATGTTCGTTCTATTCGTCGACCCCAACTAGCGATGTGCGTTAATGAGAAAACAAGCAACACAAAAGAAATGTATAGCGAGATACTATGGGTATCTGTACCTAGTTTGGTGAAGGTACGGAAGACATAATTTGTTCTCGTAATGTTCACCATATAAACAAACCAGGCTGATTGGTGAAAAATAATTACATCAAAAGTAAAGCATGCACTCGAGACTCATTATGAATGCTTCGGTACACGGATATTGTCGCAAAGCCACGCTACGATCATAGAGAGTAGCCAACATTAATCACAACAATGAGAGATGAATGAATCAACAAGGACTAGAGCAGATAAGACCGCTATAGATTTGTTGAGTTATTCTTAGCTTGTCGTGCTTGCTTTCCTAGCTATATATCGACACATACGTTGGTAACTGTTAAAAGAAACTTAAATCACACATAACATACACAGTTTCCCGTTGAGTCGTCTATAAAACACGCGATCTGAAAATGTTTATTCAATTCTAAGCAGGGCATTTACTGGTATAAGTTAGGCTAGTACACGCACTCACCCGACACGAAAAATCGTCGTATATGTGGCGCCGTTTAGCGGACTGAGTAACCTTTGAAAAAATGCGCCGTTAACAGACAGAATTTTGCTAGGAAAGACTTTAGCCTTCTAGACACCTATAATGTTTGTTTCTCGGTGGTCACAACGCTCTAGAAATGTATGGAAAGTAAGCCTTAGGCTATAGCACAGTGCGTAAATGGTGCGAACGTTTTAAGAACGGAAAGTGTTGAGGGCCGGTGAAGATATGACCAAATATAGGGATCCAATGATAAGAACGCAATCGAGGAAGCTTTTCACAAAAATAGAACTTTGGAGTCTAAAGGCTATATTGGCCAAAACGTCGCGTGTCACGTTCTCAGGATCTCTCAGGTTCTCAGGATACTGACAATGCAGGAACTGAATAAACATAGATTTCCGTGAGTAGACTTTAGGTCAATTGGAAACGCAAATTGCGGAATTTTAAACAGTGAAAGGTCTGCATAAAGCATGTGCTATACGGCCGCCTCCCCATAGATGAGGCCGGTTGAATCCTTACCGTTGCCCAAAAAGAGATCAACGTCAGTGGCAGTGTAAGGTACGGTCGGATCTGAAGTGGGAATAGTACTCGTAACCTACATCAGGAGTCTCTGCTACTACAGCAATTTGTCGAAAGTTGAAGTTCATGTTCCTCAAGAGACTTATGAACCGTGTGCATAATAGTCAAAATATGCCGTCTGGTCGCTTAATAGCAACCCCAGATTTCAGTGTTATTTCTTCAGTTGCTTCCTGGATAGAGCAAAGGAGTAGCCAACGTTGGCTTTGATTCGATTTATCCTCTCGATCTAAGCCTATACAATTACGGAGCTTTCTCAGCCCGAAAGAAGGCAACAGGTGGGCAAGCATACACTATCGATTCACTTGAAGAACCTATAAATAAATGACACACGGAAACGCGAATATTAGGTGTGTAATTGTCCAAAGGTTGCCGGAACGCTTAAATAAGTATGTAGGGAATAACGTACATTAAAAAATTGTCATTCAAGGTTAACTGATTTAGAACTTTTTGCATTTCAAAGTTCGCGTGATTTTGCCTTGTAGCAGCTTAACATAGACAATGTATATATGGATAGTCCGAGAAGTTTTTTTTTAACTTCAACATGAAGATGACTCTACCCGTCGAAAATCACGTATGCGTTGAAGAATATCCGTGAGGATTTAGTTATATATATTGGACTCTTAGTTGAACGTTCATTTAGCGTTTTTGAGGAAATTTAATATCGTGCCGTCGTTAACTGTTTGCATTTAAAAACCAGTCTGCTTAAAATCAACATAGTTAAGCACGTGGGGTGACGAAGAACTCTACCCACTGCTGAGAACATCGGAAAAGTTCGCCAAATTGGCTTCGAATTGGGCGGCACTGCGGCTATAGACATTGTGAAAGATATGTTTGCCATTTACTGATCAAGGACTTAGTACGAAAAGGCCGATCGCACGTCGCGTGCCACGGATGCTCACCAAAACAACACAGGCTCACATCTTTTCACTCGGACTTTTTTAAATTTTCTAGATCTTTTTTGCTTTTTGGATTTCCGAGTTTTTCGAATGAAGGGGCGATTGTGTTCGTAAATGCGTATTTTGCAGATTAAGATGTTAACTACTATTTGTACAGCGGACTATAGAAATGGAGGCGTTGTTGAAGAACATTCGTAGAATTAAAAGGAAACTATGTGGAGAAAAAACAGCACTTAACGTAAGAAGTTCTATATTAGGCTGGGAGGTTTCCACACCGCTCACGCATGTGCATATATGTAAATGATTTTTTTGGTGAACTAACAGGTTATAACGTAAACAATAGCAATAGACGCGTCTATTACTACCACTGCGATTGTGCTGATGAACATAGCAATTTTCTTATCAGCATAATGCTGTTATTTGAAAACAGCCGGGAAAGCGATGGTGGTCGTCATAGTGACAACTGCAAAATCTTCGCTCTTACTAGCGGAACATCGGTGACAGTTTGAACAGTGGACCACCGGATAACCGATCTCTAGTCAGGGCTGGGCAGGAAGAAACAAGGAACTTTCGAAATATGCCAAACGTATTAGCAATTGCTTTTTGCTGTCAATAATTTCGGAACTATTACATAGTCTGCTGAAACCAGCAATAAGATCTAAAAAATGAATAGAATCATTTGAATGTGTCGGTGAGAGCCACATGATGCTTAAGCTACAGCTCAAGTGAGCTTAGGGGTAATGTTGAGTCTGACATTGATACCATTGTGGGCTGCGATCTACAGAATTCCAAAGTGTCACTTTTCCTCCACGGAAGTGGACTTTTTTAAAAGTCGAAATAAATAGCTAACTAATTCCTGACTTCACATTCAAGGTGCTCTACTAAACGAAATCAATAACCTGTCCGCATTTGCTTGATTTGAAGACAAGAGCACAGACCCAATACTCCTGCTAAAAATTCGACCTGATGCAGATCGTGTTGAATATGTGCTTTCGTTATAGCAAAGGTAGAACTGTTCGTGAAATATGTCGACCTCAGTCATGTTATGTTGACTCTTCCGGAACGCCGTTCACTGTACGATTTATTCACAGTAGTTTTTACCCTCGAAGAAGTGAAAACATCTCAAGTTATGCAGCGATATACTTTTTTTTGGATGTCAATGGTCTTACTTGAACTGTGACCTTACTTGCATTAATTCGAGTTTGGTGGCCTTAATAACCTTCGGTACTATTAAAGGGCAAGGAATACGCAAAAGAGCCTTAGCCTTCACCGTTGGGAAGATAGATGAAATACTAGAATGTATTATTACTAAAGTACCAAATCGCTCGGAGTCTGTATTCAAACTCAAACCGAATTCTTATTGAAATCGATATTCGTGGTAATCAGAATTCGTGTGCCTTCAGTGTCTTGGAAGCAACTCCTTTGGACAGACAGAAAGTAAGTTGATCTAAAAGTTTTTGCAAGTAGTTTGATATTTGCTTTCATTGCGGTGAACGCGTTATTTCAGGACTGCCCCCCCCGGACGTAACCCAAACGTCAAGTCCATCGTCCCTGGGGGGTAGGCAGGCGTCGCAGGCGAGTGGGCCTGGAATTCATACACCGCAACGAGGAGGAGGAGATCAACTTGATGCACAGGGAGACGGAGCGCGGTGGAAGGTGTCAGCAAAGATTCAACAACTTTTGCAAACACTTAAAAGGCCGAAAAAGCGTACCCTACCAGAGTTCTATCAGGATGATGAATCATTTTACTGCAGTTAGTATTAAAGACAAAAGATCAATCATTAAAGGACGTTTTCTTTAGAGCAATCCTATTTGTTTCAAAGGCAAGGCTTTTAGAGCAGCTTTTTCGTTTCCGATGCAGGCGTTCTGTTACTTAATTTTTACTAGCATAGTCTCTGTAGCGTTCAACAAGTATCTCGTTAGGATAAATCATGAATTCTAGTGTCGTATAGCAAAACAACCCGGTGGTATATGTTCCATCTTTCGAGCCTTTGTCTTTCACCTGGCGAAGGCACAAACGCGACTCCGGTGTCTGCCCCACCACTAGAGGGCCCCGAAATGGAACCGGTAATTGGAGAAAAGCTCGAACTACCGGCTGGCCTTCCTTTAAGCGTCGAGGCTGCTCTCCAGCGTTACGGAACCTCGACCATGAAAGCTCCTGCCGCTACCGTTCTTGATGGCCAAGGCAAAGTGGGAACTACGTTGCTATATGGTGCGTGTTTTCAATTCTTTTATGCATTGATTTTATGATCGCATCAACTATGTGGAGGATCAGCAAGATAATTACATCAGTGAGAAGAATACCCGTTGGTATACATCAACCATGCACAATCTTAAAGAATTTTCATTGAAGACACATATGCGCCGCACCGCGGGTAAAGGCGCATAGAGAAAGTGTTTATACAACAGGTTTTTATCCTATCTTCGCCTGGTCTATTTAGGTAAACTGTGGTCACGGGCACGTAAAATTGCGTACGCATTATTAAATCGCTTTGGAAAAGCCACGTCGAAAGGCGGGGCCGAAGGCAACGTCATCAAGGTACCTCAATAGATTGTTTTCTATGGCTGCTAATAAAATTGCAATTCAAATATTCCATTTCGTAACATATTTTAAACCACTAATATATGTGAGAGCGATTTATACAGGGCGCTATTTAAAACTAGAACTAGGATTTTCCGTAAATGAACATATTTTTAAAATTGTAATGCGACCGACCTGCATTATACACAGCAAGTGTTATTTCCTAGCTTTTTTTAATTCATAGTTTTGGTGATTTCCGTCTCAACGTTTTCGAGTTTGTTTGATATACATTGCTTACGAATGTCGCTGATCCATTTCATAGGTGGGTGACCGGGTAGCCCTAGTGTACCCCAACAACGATCCTTTAGGCTTCATGTGTGCCTTGTACGGATGTCTAACAGCGGGGGTTATACCCGTCGCTGTAGAATTGCCACTATCAAGACGAGATGCATCCACTCAGCAGATTGGTTTTCTTCTTGGAAGCTGCGGAATATCTCACGCTCTCACCTCAGAAGTGTGCTTTAAGGTGAGAACTTGGTTTTTTAAATGTTCTTAGATTTCCATCGCGTATTCAAACAAGTTGGCAAGTACGCACTTCACCATTTGCAGGGTCTACCGAAGTCATCTACTGGTGAACCAGCTGCGTTTAAGGGTTGGCCCCGTCTCGAGTGGTGCGTCACCGAACATTTGACGAAGCCACCGAAGGACTGGCAACCATCTCCGCGACACGCCGACAGCTCAACTGCGTATATCGAATATTACGTCGATAAAGAAGGCTCAATGAAGGGCGTTGCCGTTACAAGGCAAAGTCTCGTGTCACATTCAAGAGCACTCACTGCAGCATGTGGTTATACTGAAGGTAGGACTGCGTATGGTGAAACATCACCTTTTTTTGCCTTCACGTCGACCTGTTTCTATTGATATCTATCACAGATAACGAGTCGATAGATAGATAGATACAACAGTTATCCATAATTGACCTGCCGTTTCTATTCCAACTGAACTTAAACAGTAAAAGAAACATAATCGGAAGCGTGGATCCTTACGTCCCCTCGTGGAGTACACGTGCGTTTTTTTTGTGTTCTTTCTGAAATTAGGTATAAAAAATAAATGGTATGTATTGTCAAATTTTTAGGTGACGTAATGGTTTGCGTTGTGGATTACAAACGGGAAATGGGATTGTGGCACTGTGTACTAACGGTTAGTTATCTTCAATGGAACAATATAGAACTTTTCGCTGTGTGTAGATCTTATTGAAGTTTACCATAGCACGATTTTTACATATTATTGCTAATTGCCAATATTATTAATGTGCCAATGCTACCTGATCACCACAAGAGGATACTAATTGACGCTTATCTTTGTAGAGCGTGTTAAACGGCATGCATGTCGTATTTATCCCATATTCACTACTGAAGACGCATCCAGCGGCATGGATGCTCTCTATTCCCCGTTTTAAGGCTACCGTATCTGTATGCAAAAGTAGAGATCTCCATTGGGGAGTGCAGGCAACGCGAGACAATAAAGAAGTAAACCTTTCGACATTACGTCTTCTTCTGGTTACCGACGGCGCTAATCCATGTACGTTATCGACGAACCAGGCACTTGTTTTTCGTTCAGTGCGAAACTTCAATTTCAGGATAAAGTAAATTTATTTCTAGAATCTGGTCATAATCTGGGAATTATATAGAGGTAGATTTACATTACCTGAAAAGTTAAACTAAATAGTTCAGCCGAGTTGAGACTATAGTCCTGACTGCAGTAGCTGCGCATTCTAATTGATGTCACTTTTATTAGGGTCACTTTCATCGTGTGACGAGTTCATTGCCACTTTCCATTCCCGTGGTCTTCGACCCGAGACGGTTTGTCCATGCGCGTGTTCACCTGAAGGCTTGACGGTGTCAGTACGTCGACCAGGTCGTGTGGGGGCTGGGTCTTCCGGTCGCGGAGTATTATCCATGGCTGCACTTTCATGTGGAGTTATCAGAGTCGACCTGGAAAACTCTCTGACCTCACTCACGATACAGGTTTGTGATATCGTTAATTCATATTTATATGGTTTGTCAGAATCCGGGCAATTTTCCGACGCTGTTAAATGTCTTAATGCGTCGCGAACATACCAGGTAAAGCAAAATGCAGCTTTGCAGGGCTATGTGGTGCTCGGAACGTATTCAGGACAAACCTCAACTCCATGGGGTTTCATTTCTTTACGTTTGTTTTTTTACGGTGGATTGCGATTTCGGTAATGGAATTTACAAAATGAGAATTTCCCAGTCATGTGTGCTTTTAAATCATTAACGAACTGCTGCCATTACACTAATTCACGCGTCTAGATAGGTGATCTCAGCAATATACTGTGTATGTTGTTATTTTCAGGACTGCGGCCATATCCTGCCAGAATGTACAGCGGTTGTGGTAAAATTGGACGGGCCTGCGCAGGTATGTCGTACTGATGAAATTGGGGAGATATGCATCAGCTCGTCGACTGCGGCCTCCAGCTACTGGGGTCTGCAAGGATTGACGCAAAGCATCTTCAAGGTTTGTCAATGAAATTTCCAAAGCCGAAAATGCTGTGTGCATTTTGGGCATGTTATGCTTCATGTTTTTCCACGAATTCTTCCCACCTTTTCACCATTAACATACGACAAAAGTGGTCTTCTGAACTATTTAAAAAAAGTAACGTTAAGGATTTTTTTCTGAAATTCACTTCTCGGTTCGGAAAGACATGTTTGATTATTCAAATCAATTAGAGTAATAAACCAATATTCTGAATGACCTTTATTACGATTTGTTTACAATTACGATTGGTTGAATAAAAAAATACTGCTTTTTATTCGCTCAAATTTTCTAGCGTATTAGTTCTATCTAAATATAGTCTATCTCTAATCGTTAATATTAAGCCTATAAAATTCAGGCTTGAGGTGAGCATTTTTATTGTCATACTGCGCGCGTGCAACTAGTTCCCGAAAAACCTAGCACTAACGGTTTGACCCTTGTTGAAAACTGCTTTATCTGCGATAGGTGCAACCATTAAGTGGGAACGGAAAGCCTGTGGCCATCTCATCGAGCGGGGGAGGATTTGTACGAACCGGTCTTCTTGGATTCGTGGGACCTGGTGGCCTTGTATTTGTTTGTGGCAGCCGTGAGGGACTAATTCAGGCTGGAGGGCGACAGCATAACACAGACGATCTCATCGCCACAATCCTTGCTGTGGAACCTGTGAAATTCATATATAGGGGACGAATTGTCGTATTCGGTGTTAAGGTAGATACAGATGTTTTTTTACTCAAGCGTTATTCATTAAAGGGTGCTAAAAGAGTGCTTGTGTATCATATTAATTATTATCTGCGAGCTGCTACCGAAGTAGCTAATTTATAGAATCTTGTCAGAAAGTGGCACACCAACACTGTTTTAGCAAGCAAGCGATCTGTCTTGAAATTTTCCATTGTAAGTTTGAAAATTCGTTTTTATTGCGATATAGATCGTATCTTCTTTTCAGTTCCTTGACGGATGGATAAAGTGTTATTATGCTCCTTCCGCAGGTTCTTCGAGATGAGCGTATTGTCGTTGTTGCAGAGCAGCGACCCGACTGTTCTGAGGAAGAATCGTTCCAATGGATGAGTCGCGTTTTACAGGCGGTTGATAGCATACACCAGGCAGGAATTTTCTGTCTTGCTCTAGTCCCGCCCGGTTATCTTCCGAAAACCCCGTTGGGGGGAATTCATACGGCCGAGACCCGACGGCGCTTCCTCGAGGGGTCCTTACATCCTGCCAACATTCTCATGTGTCCCCATGCCTGTGTTACTAATCTTCCAAAACCGCGGGAGCCCCAACCTGTTGGTCCCGCTTCTGTACTCGTTGGCAGCATTGTTCAAGGTAAAACACACCCCATACATGCCACTCATTGTCAAATTTATATAGAAATAAGAAGAATATTCAGTATCCTTGCTTATACACCTAATTATGGTCCAAATGTTTTCCTAAACACTGTCAATAGTTTCTCAATCAGTATGTACCGTGGTGTTGTTTGTTTATTGTTTATTGTTACGCGCAGGCGTTCGGTTAGCCTCTGCCAGTGGCCGCGAACTGGGTCCTCTATCGGACTCTTCGTCTGCTGAGGAGGAGGTGTGCAAATATCAATTCATTGGAGAGATCCTCAAATGGCGAGCAGCGTCGACACCAGACCACGTTCTGTTTACGCTTGTCACACCGAGCTCGAAGGCCGGCGCTCCGCCGCAACTGACGACGCTCAGCTGTGTTCAGCTGTTCAAGAAGGCCGAGAGGATCGCTTCAATGCTTATCGACAAGGCCAAGGTCGGTAGGGTGAGTGTAACAAGGCATGCTTCGCTTTGTTTTTTCTGTCCTATGCTTGGCGTGTATTCATGGCTTAGGAAGTTATGCCTCACATTTCGTTTCATCGGCGTTTCACCACTGTTGCATAATAACGGCTTCACATTATACGAACTTCACACTTATTCAAAATTTCACGCTTATTTAGAACTTCACACTTATTCAGAACTTCACACATTCAGCCAATTTGGCCCCGTGAAGGGCAACGTATAGCGGAAGTATACAAAAAAAATCACTTAGAAAACAAAGAAATGAAACAACCATATACCTCATACCTTTCAATGAAGACACTATTGACCTTTCGACTTGTTAATACTGCTGTGGCTGAATTTAAACGGTTTGTTGCTTTCGTATTTTGTGATATCACCTTTTTACTTGTAGATACGGTCGTGGTATCCATTGATATATACAGTATTGCATTTCAAAAAATCTGAGCAGGATCTATTTGAGACCTTTTCCTACGTTTCAGAATAATGATCGTAATACATTTTTTGCAACGTTTCTCAAACGTCACAAAGAAATGGTATACCATGTTCTCGTGACAAATAGTACTGATAGCAGGCCTTGCGCCTACATCGAAAATTCAGCAGACGAGCAACCGATACCGCTCGACAGGATTAATGATACATTTAGTTACATTAGTATTTCTTGAGGTTGTTGTACGTTTGTATTTGGTTTTATTATATCGCTTTGATTGAGAAAACGTTGTCAATTTGCCATCTTAATTTTCGATGCGTTCCGTTCTATGAGTCGTGTTGAGCAATGTGCATGATCAAAGCAATGTTAAGTTAAATAAAAATCACTACATTCAGTATTAATAATTGCCATTACAGACACGCACTGTTGCAGCAACCTATAACAACAGGTCTGTTATGCTTACGTTTTAGGTGAACGTCGGGGACAATGTCGCCCTCGTGTACCCCGCGGGGTTGGACTTAACCTGCGCTTTTTACGGCTGTCTGTATGCGGGTCTCGTTCCTGTAGCTATCCGCCCACCGCACTCACAAAACTTGGCAGCGACTCTACCCACTGTCCGAATGATTGTCGATGTCAGTCAGGCGGCACTCGTACTGACAACAGCGGCGATCTCCAAACTACTTCGTGGCAAAGAAGCGACCGCGCTAGTCGATGCCAGATCATGGCCAACCGTCCTCGATACAGACGACCCGCCGAAGCCCAAGAAAGGCGTTCAGCTACAACGGCCACAATTGGCAGATTCACTTGCTTATGTCGACTTCAGCGTCAGCACTACAGGCATGCTGGCTGGTTAGTAATCTGGTTCGCGCGCTTCGACCAAACGTAATAGCTACAACGAGCTATGCTACATTGCAACGAACATCTATATTAGAAGTAGTAATCAATTACCGATAAACTGATTGGTAGGTCTATTCGCGAGCGCAAAATATACCTGACTGTACTTTGCAGGCATAAAGATGTCTCATGCAGCTACTACTTGGTTGTGTAGAAGCATGAAACTCGCCTGTGAGCTGTATCCCTCTCGACACGTGTGCCTCTGTCTAGAGCCATACGCCGGACTCGGGTTGGCTTTGTGGTGTCTCAGTTCGGTCTACGCCGGTCATCACACGTTGCTTGTACCACCGGCTGAAGTCGAGGCTCAGCCGCATTTGTGGCTCGCCACGCTCAGTCAACACCAGGTTCGAGATACGTTCTGTTCGTACGGAGTTATGGAACTTTGTACACGAGGCCTAGGCACGTCCATTCAAGAACTCAAGGTAAGTAGGCCTGCCTGCCTGCTAAAATGTATGCCAGCATTTATCGTAACCTTTGTTATTTTATCATCGTCGTACAGCATTAGTAACAAGTGGTCTCTATAGCAGCATGTGTACATAACGGTCAACATGGTAGTACCAGCTTATTTGTGTTATTGCACCAACTTTCAATTAGCGCCACCTTGAAATGGCACTCCGGTTGCGTACTTTTATTTCTTTTCCGAACGCACACAAACATTAAAATAGGTGTTATTTACATAAGTAAGCAAGAGTTTGCATTCCTTGTGATCTATGCAGGCTCGTGGGCTAAACCTGAGCTGCGTCAGGACGTGCGTGGTTGTTGCCGAGGAACGACCTCGTACAGCATTGACTCAAACATTTAGCAAACTGTTCTCGGCGTTGGGCTTATCATCGCGTGCGGTGTCGACCTCGTTTGGCTGTCGAGTGAATGTGGCTCTATGCGTACAGGGCGCATCATCCCCAGATCCGTCGTCAGTTTACGTTGACATGCGCGCACTACGCAACGACAGAGTCACCATCGTTCAACGAGGCTCGCCGCATTCACTTTGCCTACTCGAGAGTGGCAAGCTTCTCCCTGGAGTAAAGGTCTGTAGTCAAGCTGTGTACGGCGTCAGACGTTGATTGTCACCACCAAAACCCGCATCATCTTATAGTGGTATATATATATACGTATTTTTGCCTTATTTCCAATGACAATTTTCACCGTTCGCGGCATCAGCCTAAATCTTCCTAGGCCTAGATTCAGTGGTTCTCGACATAAACATATAAATTATAAGTAAGGGATCTGATATGACGCGGGAGAAGAACGCAAAGGTTGTTCAACTTCATCAAGCAAGTTTAATTTTCGCGAACGGTTTTTCTCTTCTCGATCACATGATATCAGGTGGTCATTGCCAATCCTGAAACGTTGGGTCAATGTGGCGATTCCCATCTTGGTGAAATCTGGGTTCAAAGTCCCCATTCAGCTGATGGATTCTTCCGGGCAGGCGGCGATGCTGATTCAGACCATGATGATGTGTTTCGAGCCCGTTTGAGCGCAGGGGAAACCCAAGTCCCATTTGCGAGAACAGGTTACCTCGGGTTCTTGCGTAGAGTTCGCGACACCAGTGGACAAAGTGATGCTGAAGGTACGCTTATGCGGCTTTCAGTAGCATTAGATTTGACGTAAATCTTTCAGCTGGTAGTGGATTTTAAACAGAATCCGTAGCTTTTAAAGTTAGTATTTGGTAGTCGTTAGAAGTGATTTTGGAATGCGTTAAGTTTAGTGCACACTTTGACCGAAACGACCTTTTTCTCACAAATAATAACTTAAATCGTTATTTTCCTTTTGCTGCTGCCGATCTGGCGAATACCGGGGACACGCAGACAGCGGTGATGATGGGACGTTGCTCACTAGCGAAAGTAGTCGAAATATTGACGGTGGTAGTGCTCCTGCGGGCGGGGGTGGCGCCAGCAGTAGTGGACACGACGCCGTTTTTGTCGTTGGCGCCCTCGAGGAGACGATTATGTTGCGCGGGATGAGGTATCATCCCTGCGATATTGAAGCAACTATCCAGCGCTGTCACAAGAAGATTGCCGAATGGTACATACTCAGACATAGAGAATATCTGCTTCTATAGCTGACACAAAGAATTTACTCGCTTTTTTTCCTCCGTTAAACTCCATTTTTATTCTGCACCCTTAAATATGCTATTATATATTATCGACATGAAGGCGCGTCACCTCAATTTTATTTGCAGTAGTTGCATAGCGATTATGGTTCATTATACGTTATGGGGCTCAATGCGTTATAACTTAGCAAACGAGGTCAAATGGTCGCCTTGTAAAATAATTGAATGCTTATTTGTTCGATGTCATGTTTGCTTTGCAGCGCGGTGTTTACGTGGACAAATCTTCTAGTATCGGTAGTGGAATTGGATGGATCGGAAGCAGAAGCTCTTGACCTCGTTCCCCTTGTAACAATCGCCGTCCTCGAACAGCATCAGCTCATTGTCGGTGTCGTCGTTATCGTGGATCCTGGTGTTGTGCCGATCAACTCCAGGTAACAGTAATAATAACAATCATCATTATTATTATTAACAGTTACTGATCACACGTCTGGTGTTATTTCCATTGGCGTTCTTCTAATATGAAGTTTTTAAATTATTTTCTATTTAAATAGGACATCTCAACACAGAAAAGACCGCTGAAAAAACGAGATTGTTTGTTTTTACAAATGGACTTCGACCGAGGTGAAGTATGCGTTTTGTTTGTTAACATATGTGGCTCTTTTGATTTCCAGGGGCGAAAAACAACGTATGCATCTTCGAGACTCTTTTCTGAGCGATCAGCTGGACCCCATTTACGTGGCATACAATATGTAATCCGTCAGCAAATACAAAAGAAGCATAAGGAGCAAACCCAACGATTAGGTTCGCAAGCAAATAATGTTACGTTTACATAAGGGTGAAGAGAAAAGAATACGGTGCAAAATTTATTATTTCCGATAACGCTTAATAACTAAATACTAGCCGTTTTTACGTAGACGTTATCTTTGAAACGATGATTTAAACCGTGATCAAATAGCGATTATCAAGGAAGGAAGTCATTTATTCATTTGTCAGGTCGGACGTAATGATACTGCGGACAGACAAAGCAAAAGCATCAACCGTGTCTTGTCAGCTTCCCTACCTTTCATATAGGTAACGATGAAATATAGTTGATTTTATAGCCAAGTAGTAGTTTTGTAGACTGGATGGAAGGTTTTGGTAATGGAAGCACATGGTACTAAATGCGCAGCAAGGATTATCATAATAACTACTATACTACATACTACGATAACAACAAGGGACAATGAATGAAATGGTACACGCTAATCGCTCAGGAGACGCCATAACGAGTCTCGGTCTCTATGCCCTACGACGACCTAAAACAATACGTAATGAAATACTGTTTCATAAACACACCAGTGCTGCCGTGCCGCAAGCTCAACGTAATTGATATGTATTCAAGAACGATGACAAGAACTTGTCGCCGTGTAAAAGTGCTAAGAACTGAGTGGTGCGAATGCTCTAACGATGAGGACTATGGGTATGACGACGGTAGTAACAAGAATGCTAACTATCACGATAACAATCATCCATGATTAATACCATTATTGATTAATACCAAGTAATGTCGGTTCAGTGGATGGAGCGGACCTTTTGCCAGTCGTCTTAAGAAGACACATTGAGGAAGGCGCATGTTGCTTTATTCAAGTTTTCTTTATTATTCATTTCTTTATTTTTCTTTATTAATACATTGCCTATGGAAAAAATTCGTCTTGTACCCGGTACTTGAAAGGCACACACACACACACGCACACACACACACACACACACACACACACACACACACACACACACACACACACACACACACACACACACACACACACACACACACACACACACACACACACACACACACACACACACACACACACACACACACACACACACACACACACACACACACACACACACACACACACACACACACACACACACACACACACACACACACACACACACACACACACACACACACACACACACACACACACACACACACACACACACACACACACACACACACACACACACACACACACACACACACACACACACACACACACACACACACACACACACACACACACACACACACACACACACACACACACACACACACACACACACACACCACACACACACACACAGACACGCACAGACACATACACAGACACAGACACATACACAGACACAGACACATACACATACACATACACATACACATACACACACACATACACATACACATACACATGCACATACACACTCACTCACACAAACACAGACACAGACACATTCACACACACTCACACAAACACAGACACATTCACACACACTCACACAAACACAGACACATACACACACACACACACACAGACAGACACATACATACACACACACACACACACACACAAGGTATTAGTAAATCGAATGTGAGAGTAAGCGCCAGATCAGGGTCTGGGAAGATGACGGAAATTCCAAGATAGCCAGCAAGAAAAAAGAAAGTAGTAGAATTAGCAAATAGATAAGGTTCGATTTTATGGTGGCCCAATAATCTAGAACCGCTATAATATTTACCACATCTGTGTTAATATATGAAACTTAACAAAATAGAATTAACTTAAAGGTCTATACGAAAAAATCAAGAAAAAGCTCTTCCAACTCGAATCATAAACCAATCGCTATCTGTAAAAGTCTTCAGCACGTGTTTACCCTAATATGCAGCACAAGTCGCATTAGAAGTAGTCGTAATAATAATATTAATGAATGACAGACTAACAAATGGAAATATCATATTTAAAAAAATCAAAACACACAGTGATGAAATGAATCTGTTATTGCAAATGGTGGGGGCGCCGGAATGTTAGTTACCTTTGTAGCGTGACGGTTTACTTCTTTAATAACGTAATCTACCTTTATATTACCGTGAGTAATCGGTTGCTTCGAAAGCCTCAACAAATCTGGAAAACGATAACAGTACACTAAAAAGACAAAAACGGCTTTTTGTGACCATGTGGCCCTTCTATAAAAAATATATATATATATATATGGTTGTCATCAGTAACAAGGCGAAGTGTCTAGGTCTTTATCGACTATTTGCATTGCTTATATCTAACATCTAGACGTTTGTATACGTGCTGGTGGAAATGCGTAGATCATCACAGTATTGCATCAGGGATGATCTGTGGAAATATAGCAATCAAGTATATATATATATATATATATATATAAAGATGATGATATAGAAGATTGACTCCACTACTAATAATGCCAATGAGAAGGGCTTCATAAAAGGAGATGCTCTTACAGCAAGTATTGCGTATGTCGATAGCAGCTTAACAATGAGATAGTAATGAAAATAAAACATTAGATGACAGCAGGAGGAAGACTAAATGAAAAATAATAACTACAACTATAATAAGATAGATAATTATTAAACAAATCAAAGAGCGGTTGCTCGGCAGCCGAATTTCTAGTTGGCGGGCTGAGTGGTGCTGCATGTATTGATGAACTATAGGAAGAAAGCAGCCGCTTCGATACAGAAAAAATTCTTACGAAAATGAAGTCCAAAGCCCAAGAAAACAACAGTAGCAGCCAATAAGAAGGGAGCGAAAATCAACAGCGCTGTAACATTAAAAAATAAATGAAGGTCAAGTGAGAGACGCGGGAAAAACGAACTATTTGAATAAACTTTTAATCTAGTATTAACCATCTGGTCCATTTTGCTATGGGACAGCCATCAGTGGCTGTCGGTGAGGTGAAAGAAGGCATATTGCATATAGCGACTCACTGTTCGTACAGCCGCAATCGGTTATTAGATGACTGAAAAAAATCCAAGTGAGGTAATAATAATTAATCGTGTGTTATGTAGCCAACAGCTGACTTTACCAAGTATAAGAAAAGAAATAACTAAGAGCTTTAAAGTACGTGTTTCCTTTCATGGTGAAAGTGTCATGAAATATATCTTTCAGCTTGTGAGCGCTAGACCAGTTAATAATAAGGAATAAATTTAATCGCACTGCGAACAGTATATTAACTATACGGGTTCACTTATTGATAGGTGAACTTTTTGCGCTGATCCAAAATAAGCTTGAGCGTTTTGTTAACCAATTTACCTGCACTGCAGATGGTGCAATGCTATGAAAACTTTATGCCAAGCCATAAAGTTGTTCGATTTTATCCGACTGTGATTTAGTAGAATACAAATCCTATAAATAAGAAGTTCTAGATGCTTCACACTTTAATCTGAACGTAGTCAACCGTACGATGGGGACGCACTATGATCTTCATCAAAACTTTCCAAAATACGCAAATGCAAGTATCAGGGTGTTTAGCCTTTTTACGCCGGCACATACGTTGCCAGGTGCCGACGAGGTTCAATAAGTTAGTGCAGGTTCGCGGACTATATCGCTCAGTAATGTGCAGTTTATGGGTTAGGTAAGGGGTAACATTGTAGAGATGCTCCGTATAGGAGAAATAGGAAGGATCTAGTTATATAGCAGTTCTTATGTTTTACAGCATCCATCAGCTATTGACCTCCCCAGTTCTCTAAGTTGTTCAGTCCGTAAAAGAACGAGGATACCCACTCGGCCTCAGAGGGTTACAACCATTTATATAGATAAACTTTTTTTTAACTATTGATATATATATATATATACATTAACTTTAATAGTTGTAAGTAATATTATGTAGTACAATTCTTAAAACAAATAAATGCTACGAATAAATGATTGTTATGCTAACAAAGCCATTTCTTCTGTAAATATATACGGGCTAGTCAGCTTCACTTTAGTGGCCCCTAGTTAATGCAGTAACAACGAGGCGATAGCCAGACTGAGTGTATGGTGACTCGTCATCTTCTCTTTCTCACAATCATTTGCCTTTGAATCAGCCGTGAGTCAGTCTCGTTAATTACCTCCTCCACACCAGTAATATTTTACACTAAGGAAATGATCCTCTGTCTGTTATCGTTCTTAAATTCCTTTCCGAGTTTCTTTTTTGGAGTTTACGGGTCGAAGTTTACGGATTGATCTGAAACGTCAACTGGCGAAAACAGTCATCAACACAGTGGCCTCTCTGGTGGAACCTGTTTGTAGGCCAGTGCCAATAGCAACGAATCGTATTGCGTACAATGTGTACATTGGCTAAGTCCAACAGACTCAGAAGGTTAAATCCATCCAATCGACTAACGAGGGCACTTGCTTAATTATATCATTTTTGTTTTGCACGATTTTTTCTATGCGCGTCAGAAGGTACGATGCCCTGGAGCTATAAGGTAAGACTTTGTTCAACAAATAATGAATCGTCTATTCCAGATTGTATTTGTTCGAACCCCTCATTCAAGTAAGAAGAAGAAGAAGAAGAAGAAGAAGATAAGAGGATTAGAGCAACACATAAATTTTTTGGAAAATATACTGTACGAATATTGAAGTATGTACCGATCTATAATCGTGATGTAGGATCCAAAATTTATTCTGCATTTTCTTCGTTCTTTTGCGCTGGACAAGTTTGCGCAATATTTGTAAAGCGCTTTGGTAGTACTTTTTCGAACGTGGAGGCGGACGGCATGAATTGTCGATGGCTGAAGAAAACTGAGCAGCACCATGGATCATACGATTTGCTTTGATCGGAACAGATACTCTGAATATTGTCTTTGTTCCTCCGTCGTAGCTGGAGATGGACGTGTGATCACCCGTAACGAGGTGTTCAAGCAAGCTTGGTTCCTAAAAGTTTTTACGCATGTGTCTATCTGGCGGCATGAACCGAATGTCGCTGTGACTGAAAGCAAGTTGCCACAAGTATATGTATATCTCAAAATGTAGCTAGAGACAACGTTACTTAAGACATGCAATAAAATTTATATCCCTGAGTGTTTGATTATCACTCAAAAGCAAAAATTCGTAACGAGATAAATGGGAAATACTCAGTACTTAACCAGCAGTAGACGTACAAACAACGGAAAACTAACTTACGACGTATGCACATTAATGTGACGTATCTGCATCAATCGGTTAGAACATCTACAGATGAGGCACAAACCGATTTTGATATGCTTTATTACTGACGGTACAAGAGAGCTGCGGAAAGAATCTACGGTACTTTCTACATTCTCTCTTACTTCGCTTAAGTGCTTATGGTATCCAATTAATAAAATTTTAGCAGACCGTTGTAGTTTTGGCGTTAAATACTTACAGAATTTCCATAACTTACTTTAGGCAAATGACGTTTAGTTTCCCACCCCGATCTCAGTTGATCGTGTATAAGTAGTGAAATGCATGCAGTTTCAATTGGGTTGTTGAAGAAAAACAATTGTTTTAATTTTGTAGCTTCCCGCCACTTGTTTACACTTCAAACGACTGGCCCCTGTAAGTATGAAACGAAAGTGCGTCTATACTCGAATCTACACCACCCAATTAAGTGTACCTATTTAATATCTATCAAAATCCTTATCCGGCCTTATCGGGTGATTCTGGTTCTTGTCCTCTGCAATGTCTACAGCGAGTACCCAAGGAGATTTTACGTTCCCGTTACTCTCAATATATTTACCACCTTCGCTGTCTGCAGATAGTTCCAATTTCTCACCGTCATTTTCACCGTCCATAATTAACAAATCATGCTCATCCTTAAGTTCACTTTTTTTTTACCTTGTTTGCCCTTAAGTTGTATTGTTTACGCAGTTTCCCGAAATTCACCTTCTTCAACGCGGCGACTCTTTGTTACTGGGGACTGACTGACCGATGAGGCTCGTCCACCTTTCAATGTTCCTTGAGCTCTCCCTCGGTATTGCTTTTTGTAATATCCCTAACTTTCAATTCACTCTCTTCTTATTATCCTCAACGTTTTCTCACCGTATCGAGTCTATAGCGTTCTGCATGAATTTCTCACGACCCTGATGAGGCTTAGGCGGCAAGCTTTTTTCTATACTCTCAACATCGGTTTCGTCTCTTTCGTCTGAAGGAACCTTTCTGCCAGCAGGGATAACATTGATTCTTTCACCAATAAAGATCTTATCTCAGAAAATAAGAGCATTTTTGTGTTCGACTAAAAAAACTAAAGTTAAGTGCGAACGTGACTCGACGTATCAGGCGTCGTTGATAAGGAACGCGCACGCATTCCATGTCGACGCAGACGCTTCGAGTTCTTGTCAGCGAAATGTTCTCAGAGCTTGAGAGTTATATCGCAGTGTCCTTTTTTCAATCAGGGAAGAAGCAAAAGTGGTGTAAAAAGTAATCAGCTGAATGAAGGAGCGTCAATACTCTAAATAGAGTCAGGTAGACGAGACACAGGTGGCCAACAATTGAGCTTTACTGAGTGATACTAACAGTTTCGTGCAAAATCTAGATAAAGTTATGACAGAAACAAAAGGGGTCATTTCGTCTCACAGTGATGAATGTTTGAGCTTATTTTACCATGAAAGAGCTTACCACCGGTTACCTGCGTAAATGAGTAAGTTCGCAAAAAAACATCCCTTTCTTTTTCTTTTCGACTAATGCCCTGTCCTTTCTCGTTCATTTGCCTGCTAACGTTTTTCTTGCCAGTATCGTGGAAGCCACTTGTTTGTTATAGAACATGTACGCGTATGCAGATGTGCGCACCGGGACATTACAATACAGGAGCCGCATGTAACGGATTTGCAAGGCTTAGGATGAATGTACCTTTTGATATTTCAGAGGCTGCCGGCGACTTTTTTTTTGATAGGTATCAACAGAGACATCAACCTCCCTGAAGCAGCACAAAAAACCCGAAATATATGTAATGTATGTGTTACACATATATGTATTACATAGTGCCATCATTTACTCTTCAGCTTAATTTAATGTGATTCGCCGCCGGCAAAAAATTCACTAATTTTAGCCCGATCTTCATTTTAGGTAAGTTGAGCGCTATTCAACACACGTCTTAATAGCATATTTATTTTTACGACACCTTTAAACGCTTGGAGTCCAGAGCTGCACCAATCTACGACAAGAACCTGTAAACACTTAAATGTAACTTAAAATAAGTAGCGTAGCGTAACGTAAGATACAAATACACCTTTACTCTGTAACTTTTACTACATTTCTTTCGCATCACAGAAAATAACCGCCCTGCAACCCCTGCGACTCAAGCTAGCCGCCATCTATATGACATTATTTCGAACGGCAGTTTTAACTCTGCAGAAACTTTTCAAACCAACTAGTTTCAAGTAACTTCGAACTAGGCTCTTAAGCGACAGCCTAAAGCAGTTGTTTTGTAAGAACTTGGTGCCAAAAGGCTGTTGGTATCACAGTTTGGCTGAAACATAGGGATAACCGTACTAAACATTTATTCAGCACAATAAATCTTATTAACTATGCACAACTCATTTGCACAGGCAGATACTAACGTGATACCCTCTAATCTTCGCTTCTATAACTAGTTTGCTTATTGACTACTACGATTAGATTCAAATTATTGTATCCAAAAATCACAAAAATATATCCGTAGAACGCTTCGAATTTACACAGATCTCAGACACCCCAACCTAATGATAGTGATAGCATTATTCTATAACATACAGCCATTATTCTAGAAATTTAAAAAAAAATAGGTTATGGTATGACCTGATTATGGACCAATGATTTTCTCATTATAAATGTTAACGCCCTTTTAAGAGTTACAATATACATGAGAGTCACCCAGATACCGTGTTTATTTCACTGACTGATTATAATTTCGAGTCATTGTCGAAGCTGGTTTTAAAAATCTTTCAGGGATCTAGTTTTATGCAAACTGACCGCTCCTCAAATATATTTGATACTAGATCTGAAAAAATCAGCGATTCAATTGGATACATCAGTTTATGCACTACGATTAAGCTAGCCGCCATTTATTAACTACTTCGTGAGAACATACAGATATATTTTCTCAATCATTCCGTTTACTAGGTACCTGCTATTTGTCCGCTCCTTACCAGGACATCTGCATCGCTCCCAGCAAAACAATCAACAAAGCAGCAGTTTGCTGTTGTAATAGATAATGAGGCTGTCAGTGACTCGTACTTAGTCCAATCCCTTCTCACCTTCAAGAGAAATGTGTATGATCTACTATGGTTCAAACGTTATACCACTCGAGTGCCAAAGATTCATGTTGGTTGAGTGCAAATATCGACGTATCTATCAGAAAAAGGGGGAAAATGATAGATATCTCACTTATGTGCTTTGAGCAGAAATATATGTGTCAATATTTCCGTTACAGTGGTCATAATGCGCTCGAGCGTAAACAAAATGATTGATGCTACTGCTGCTTTTTTTTATTGTTCGACTCCTCTAGGCGTGGCGCAAAGATCAATGTGGAAGCGGTGTTTGATAAGATGGATCCCAGCTAATGTGAAGGACGTAGCTTCCATCAACAACTCACAGAAATTCGCTTTGAAATTCTCCAGTTGTCGACAGCTAAACGATTTTATCAATAATAATTAGTAATACTACCTCAACCGTTTCGAACGAAAAGCCGGTTCTTTGTAGTCGCCTGCTCCTCGCTGAAAACTCATTCACTGCGGTGTTAAGATACTATTTGTTAAGATATTAATTATTATTTTAGTTTGTCGGCTGCAGTTCGGCTCCTATTTTTAGTCAATGTTGTAGTTGCCATTACGCATGTGATTGGTATCTTTCGTGTTTTTTCGATCCTTTCGACTGCTAGAGATACATAAGATACGATGTTGCTATATACCTCATGTGCCTTTATGTCCTTAAATTTTAAATCGTCGACCACAAGAGCAATGATATGGCGTAGAGCCCCTGCTTCGAAAGAAATAGATTTTTGCTGATACGTCGCGACAGCAGCAGCAGGACTCTCAGCTGCCAAAAGATCGCTGTCGTGTTGAAACATTGGACATATATTAGCTAAAATATTAGTCCTTGGTATTCGAAGACAAGAGTGCCTTCTTAGGTATACAACACACTATAACCCTATGATGATTACTTGACATATGCTAGACTAGAAACCGCTTACGTAGTCTGGTTAATTAGAGTTAAATGTGTTTCTACATTCGGTTATTATCAAGTGCCATATGAAAAAAAAAACTGTAGGTACACACGTTTATCAAATTGCAAATATTTTTAATGGCGGCTACCGCCGAAAGTGAAGTAACAATCCCGTATTGGTTTTAACTTCACTTACATACAACGTTTTTTCTGCTGTGAACTAGAGTTCGTGAAATATTACGAAGGAAGTAAACATGAATATACATCAAAGCTCAAAAATCTTGGTTCTGTGATTTTCGCACAAAGCAAAAAACGTTTCCCCGGTTGTGGTGACGTTATTGTTCATGTGTTAACTGTGCGTGTACTCTGATGCCACGGCTGAAACAAGTGTATTCATAATATCCCAAGAACTATACCGAGAGTTTCTATATATGTGAGGTGCTATGATGCTACACTTGCCAAAAAGTGCACGCTACCCGGCGGGGTCCAGGGGTTCGGGATCCAGACTACCGCCTGTGGCTCTTGCTGGCATGGCGATCGCAGCTTGCCTGGCCATCGTCGTCTACTGGCATCAAGTTAGCGAATATCGCGCGCTTGAAGAACGCTATCGGGAACTGCAGGTACTTCAAATGCGTGAATTACGTTTACCTCAAATACAAAGTGTTGGGTAGCTTTTGTCTGATTGCACGTATAAGACAAAAAGAAAATGTGTGTCTTTAGCAGATGATAGGTATTTAGAAATGGGCAGGAGCTTCACGACAATAAACTTTATTTTTAAAGTTCCCTGTAACATAAGCTTATTGTTAGCCAATCAAGCAAATCGCTTTTTATTTTTTGCCTAGTAGTCAGTAAGGTACGTCATTCAATTTGGCGTACCATTGTCGTTATGACACTTCGTTTATTTTCCAAATATTCAATCTTGGTCAGTCTGTGGATATTAACTTTCGACCACACATATTGAGTCATAGTAGAGAACTTGCTTATGATATCTCCTGCACTAGAAACAATTACTGAAGTAACGAAATAAAGTCTTAATAATAGCAAGACGCAAAATTTCGAGATTTTTATGCGCAATAAAATAAAGACCCTGTGAAAGAAACAATGTAGCATTTAACGTATCTCCGAATTAGATTTCATTAAAAAAAAATAACTCAAAGAAGCTAAAAATAAAGGATAGCTGGAGAAAATAATAATGGTTTTAACTATTTAAACGAAAGTTTAAGCACGATCTTATCGCGCATTAACAGGTATGGGTATCCTACTTTAGGCTAATCCGAAATGATTATAGCTAGCAGAATCACAGGAAAATGTACAAAAATAAAAGGAAATAGTGAAGGATTGGGCCAGCGCACTTTATTAATACCGGATTCTATCCGGTTAACCCTAGCCCTGTTTGGGGCGTTTAGGATTTCATAAGTTATTTTGATTCGACAGTTCACAATCTTATTATCTCTAATTAATTTAAAAGTTACAAAAAGGTGGTCGAGGTCGCCCTCTATTGTCTATGGATGAACCTACACGAAGCCTGCAGACGCATGGTGAAATCATAGTTCTCAAACGTGTATGGTATAGAGTCCGGACCACCCAGGGCCGTTGGGGGTCGGTCCCCTTTTATACGCAGTATCCGAGCAGTAACTCACGGCCTGGGTCTACTCATCAGATGAGAACAATATTAGCCAGCAAACAATGAATCTAGCGCCCGCTGCTCACGTTACGCAAAAGTTCCCGATCTTACAGCCTGTCGGGTAACTCGACCAGGGTCGGAATCGCACTTTTTAGGGCAGAGGGGTAAAATATTTCGTTTGTTTTTAATGTGTATCATTGAGTAGCTTTTAGGGCAGGCCTGAGCCCCTTCCGACGTCCGAGGGAAAGGGACGAGTACCAACAGACAAACGCCTACACCTGTCGCCACAGATGGCGCCACTGCCAGTTCTTTGACCATTATTTGTTTTAGTTCGAGTAGCACATATTGAGTAAAAATGTGCATTTGAAATAATAAACAAACATAAGATCAACACTTCGAATAGTGTGGACTTACCAGAAAAGTTCCTAGACAATTATAAAATTGAACCTTTATATTTTCCTAGTGCTGTTAGTAGTATGCTATTTATGTGTTCGTGAGATCGTTCGTTGGCGACTGCACCAGAAAGTTTCTAACACTCACGTTTACGGCAATGCATTACATTTTCTGAAAGATTGCGGAAACCCTTCCCAAAAATCAAGATGCAAAGATGCTCTAGGACGAAATTGCAAACTGCTGGGAAAAAAAATCAAGAAAAGTAACCGTCTGCCAGTGTGTTTTATTATCGATATCGTGCGTAAGTATTAGTGCGCTACACATTGATATATGGCAGATCCACTGTCTTGTGCTTTAGTTGTATTTTATTTCTATGAATAAGTCATATTCGACGTTTCTCTTTGTTAGTCTTTTAAGCCATCTGGAACGTACGAGACGAGGCTTTAGGCTAAATAGAAGCACAATTGCACTAAGAGTGCGCAACTCTCTGCAGATATGAAGATCTTACAACAATGAGTGTATCTAGTTGTGCGTTCGATGTAAGTGATGCACGTGTGTAAGTACATAAGTAGGTATTAGAGGCGTGAACATCTCCGAGATGCCAGTGGTCGGTATGCTTTAGTAACCAATATGAAATGTATGGAAGATTATGAAACGAGAGAAATCTTTTTTTTATTGTTACCTGTAGGAAAAGTTTCGTTTGTTCGTTGAGAAAAAAGAAGCGCTACAACGCCAATATAACGATTTACAGAACGTTTCTCAAGACGCGTCGAGAAAAATTAAGGACACTAAGGAGCGTTTGACGACATGCGAAAAGGTATGATGTGATGCTGACCGACAACTTTTGGATGTTGGGAAAGCCGATTAATAGAATGCATCTGTGAAAATTTCAAATCGACGTGTGTACGTTACTTAGAAGAGATTAACATAACCTTCAATGTATATAGTAAGGTTGCATTAATTGAACTGATACGGAATTGGCGGTGACGAGATGTATTAAGAATCAGCGGTGATCCTAAGGAGTCAAATAATAAAAATATACGCCTAATGAAAGTGTGATTCTCAGACAGAGTCAGGCACAACCCGACCGAGTTCGCCATTGGTAAATCATTGTCTGCGTGACTAAAATGTTGCTCATTACGAATGAGGGAATCTTATTTGTTCATTGCAGGAGCGTGAAACTCTGGACACAACGTTACGTGAGAAGCAGTGGCAGCTCGATGCAGCCGCTGCCAAAGCGACAGTGGCCGTCGGATCGCTACCCTTTGCGCAGCCAAATTCAGCTTTATTGAAGCAGCAGCAGCAGCAGCAGCAACATCCAAATCAACTGCAGCATATGGATGATACGAGAGTAAAACGATTGTAGAAAATGTATCAAAACTAATTCGGATAGCAATTACTATATTATTAGTTATGAGAAAATGTGATCTCCTTGGAATACGAATATGTGAACAAAAAAATACGACGCCAGTAAATAAAGACAAATATATTTGTATAACACCTAAGCTATGTGCTTTTTCACCAATACACCGTAACGTCATCTAGCAGCAGTATCTCTTGGCTTTGAATGAGTATGCAAAATGCTTTACAATACTTTCGAGGGATCGAATGGGCAGTAGTACCAGGAATTTGGAACTAAAAGGAATCCGCTTGGGCACGTGCGATCTTCTACGTACAAATTTGTCAATAAAAAGTGGACTAATACGATTATTTTTATTAGCAAGAAAGGTCATTCCTAATGCCAGGTAATCACCGTAGCCACGTATTTACTGCAAACAAGGCACTTCGCGATATCTTGCTAGCAAAAAAGCCCAAGTGCGAAAGTCGGTACTTTTACAGCTGTTCTAAGAAAAGTCCCCTGAAGCGTCAAAGTTGATCGGTTAAATAAATGGAACGCTTAAATAATACTGCATTTAGCTTTGTTGCTTCAAATAGTATGATATAAGTAGTTAGCTCACTGCCCTACAAGCTGTATTAAGAACAAGGAACAAGCGTTTAGGTTACAGTTTGACCAACGATTGACAAATAAAACAAAAATGTCTAAACCCGATTTTTCACACTGCTAACAAAAATGCTTTTGCCTGCGTTGGGCTTCGTTGAGTGATCGGCATCAGTTCAGTTAATCAACTAATGGCACAACGAAAATTATTTATAACGCTAATATTCCACGTACGAGTATCCATATGTTCACGTACGCTGCTATATTCATTGTTTGAATAGCACACACTCGTAGGCCTGGCACATTCAGAAAATGCTGAAAACGTTGCAACGACTAACGGACTAGAGGCAGGGTTCTTAGTGGGCAACGACCAGAAACGGAAATGGGTCTTTCTGTCTAGGGCGACCTCCGTTCGAACCCGTAGTGCTGGAAAATACAGCAACAGGAATCGCTGGTGACGTAACGGCTGCTGTCGCTCTATCAGGTGGTCACACAATACTTGCGCAGTTTAGTCACTCGGTTGTAATTCTTCGTATTAATGTTACTGTTATTATTAATTCATGTTGAAATAATGAAGAGAGATAGCCTTAATGAATGGGATAGAGATGGGGCTTACTGGTTCGTTTAGAACTGCGGAAATTAGCACAGTGATGTTTATGAAGATGGTATCGTCGATAATAACAGGCTTTCAGGATATCAGATAAATATGGGCCTCGCGGACCCCGTTACCCAATATGACGAATTCAACCTGTATCGTATCCTTACTTCTAACGTGACTTCTGCGGGTCAAAACTGATAGACGATACCAGTGTCTCGGTTCGCTTGATAGAGCAGTAATAATCGCATTTGTATTAAACATTGTCGCTTTCCCATATCGACTTTGGGCCTGGTAAAATCTTCGGAAATGCGGTTCGTTCTAGTGGGTAGGTTGACACTTCCAAAAGTAGAACATGCAAGCTGCATAATTGGCGGCCACCAGTTCCAATCCACAACACGTTACTAAATATCTAAGAACTATGAAATTTAGCGATAAAATACTTTTAGACAATGAACCCGGTATGTATGTAGTGATTCTGCAAGATTGAATGAAAGAATGATACGGAAGAAACGACGTATATTTCGGCGACCCTGTATGTTTATATAATCTTGGAAAAATGAATAGGAAAGGAAACAGACTGTGCTTTCATTTATAATGATAGTGAAGGCAGTTGACAGTAGTACGATGTCCAAAAAATCGCCGATTCACTTATCATTTACGCGAACCGTTATGCGAAAACGAATCAGAAGTGTCTAGCGTAGGTTCCTCTTAGTCAACGTGCTGTAAACGAGATAATCACATTCACACACAAAAATAACATGCCTATTTCGTCAAGTAAATCACGAAGTACATAACACTTTGATAGGTTTTAGGCTTCGTATGGAGATAGTATATCGCACGGAAGGATATAATGCTTATTTACTGAAAAGGAATAATCCTTTAAACATGAAAGCGTTGGTATTGTAAATTACAGGCCGTTAAGCACAAAAAATATCCATATTCAATGAATAACAAAACATAGGGTTTTTGAAGACAATCTGTCAAAAAACGTATATATCACAAGGGTAACAATAGGCTGAACAGCTGGAAACCTGGTTGATCGCCGACATAGAACGCCGACCACGTAAGTGGTTAACGCACTACAGCAACTCCGCGGCTTGCCCGATTAGCTTCTCACCCCCCATAAATCACTTCTCGAAAATTAAAGGGGCAACCTAAGTTCACTGTTATTCCTTATCTTGCCAAAGGGCTTTCCGTATCAAATAAAAGGGTCGAAGAAATCAGTTATCTTGTATGCAAAGGGCCGTAGTATACGAGTCGAACAGCTTCCAAATATAATAAACTTTAGCCCGGCGCCACGTGGCAGTCACAGAATTGGGACTTACCATAAGCCTGATCAAGACGGAAGCGATAAGGGAGGCTTAGAAAGGGGCGAGAACAACGACCACTAACACGCCCTAATTTTTCAGGTAGCCTTCTGCCTAGGTAAACCAATTTTTGTACTTTGGGTTGCGCTTCTCTGCGAGCAGCAAAAGTTTAACTGTGTGCATGACCGAAGGATGCAGGAAGGCAATGTTGGCCCAACGAGCCGTGAAAGGATTTCATCGCTTGCCACTCACAACCGCTGCAAGCTTTTTCGACCTCGAAGTAGCTTTGGTCGCAATGTATGGGATACACGTTATTTGGCAAGATTCTGCAGTCGAGAACTCGGACAGCTAAATCGCGTCAAAACCTCCTTCTTGAAAGGAGCACTGAGACTACAAATAGTGACCCGAAATCGCTTCACGTATCGCTTGGCTGACTTGCGACTGCTGTCCGAAAACCCGCATTTTTTAGCTTTCAGCAGCGGAAACCTTCAACAAGAAGCTCAGACGCAGGGAGCGAAAATTTACGTCCATTGATAGGTATCATTTTGCTTCGAATACAATGAGAAACAATGATTGAAACAGACGAGCCGTCTTTTGTAAGGATTCTACGATAGATTCTACAGGAGACCAAACTTCCACGAGCACGACGATACACATAAGTAATATAAATGGGGAACAAACTGGGTACCGTACATTGCTACCTAGTAGTATTCCTAGGTAACCTAACAAATCTCATTCATTTTTTTAAGTTTAACAAGACCTGTATAATTCATATACCGCGAACCGTCTTAAATGCTTCTATGTACTCTTTCTGATAATGGTGTATCGCTTTGTTGACTCATATTTGTGAAGCTTTTCACTACTATCGGCAAAGGTGAATAAATAAATTCTTATCGACAAAAGACAGCTTTTTGGTAATGCTTGTAATGACAATTATAATAGTTATACATTTTCGTGAGCTTCATTCATATTAAGCACTAGGTGACTGATATCTATATTCACTTGGTTAAAAATAAAAATTATATCGACGCCCCAATTATAATAAATTATAATTTATACAGATTTTTTTCATATCAGAGGCGTGTCGGCGTTCAAACTCATCCAATTCGTCAAAAGTGACTACATAAATATTGGGTATTTTTGAGCGCGTTGCGGATGATGGCGTTGAGAACGATACTGACGCAGTGAGCACCGCCGTCGCAACTAGCGCGATGCGCAGGCGTTACTATTGAAGTGACGCGTTGAGGTGCTGTATGGAGCGAGATATAAGTAAGACGAGCTCGGTCTTTCCATTCTTTTCTGTTTATAGATCAAGCAATTAATAAAAGGTTCAACTTAAAGAAAGATGATTTCTTTTTGGCTAGCCATGAACGATGAAGGAACAATTAATTAATTTCTATTATTCGTAGTCGGTCATTTCTAACTGGCCATCATTGGATAGATCAATAAAAACAGTAAAAACAGCAGCAATTACCTTTTCAACCATGGTCTGTAATATAGTTGCCCTAAGGCACGGTTTCTTTAGGCCGTCGTTCTGAAGGTTCTGTTTCGTTTAACCATCATTTTTCATATAAATACGAAAACGGAATTTAGCTGATATATAAATCCTTAGTATTGCCATTATTAATATATGACACAACATGGTTATTCCCTTGAGAGAGCACTTTTTGTTACGTTTTCTTGGTGGCCAAACATAATTTCACTTTTCTTTTAAATGTTTGAGTCGTAATGCTTTAGGTAGAGCATCGATGTGGCTAGGACATACTACTCTCTCAAAATGTATAATCTCATCGACAAATATCCGCCATAATGTCGCGCTATTGGCACGCTCGTCTTACAATTTGTAAGACAACGCGCAAAATAGCACTTCAGGTCATATAATTACCCACTTGCTGCTCGAGATGTCTAACTTATTTCATCAGGCCTTTGTTTCTTCAACATCGTTTGAGATCTCCTAAGCTCTTCTTACATTTAAAGACAAGAGCACCCGAGACAGTCCAACAAAGCTATAACTATGATTTGTTTCAGAGCGTACCTTTTTGAAAAGTGTGTCAAACTTCACTTTGAAGCTCACCTGTTTAACATATTTTTTTTTCAAAAGCTCAATCTTTTACCTGCGCTTACGTGATCTGGGTCTTTGTGGTACCTATAACTATACCACGCGCTCCGTTACACTAGAGGAAACGTCTCCGTTGTTACCTTAATTAAAGTTGAAAAGGCGTTTAACATTATCACGCATAATGTCTTTTAAGACATAACTTTCGACTCTCTTTTGTCGTTTTCAGTATTTTTTTTATTTGAGTTTTATTTTTTGAATGCAAGCATCGGAGATGCGGTCTCGAATGATCGTTAAGTAACACTTAGGTCTTAGGCCCATTTATATTTAACTTTTACATAAATGAACTGCTTCTGTATATCAAGCTCCATGAACACAGATTGCATGCCGCTTTTTTTGCCGACGACCTTATTGCTATGAAACGGATTTTAATGCACACATCTGTGATTTGGAGTCACTTGACCGTCCTGAAAACATTTCTGAAACGAGATGTGACTTTTTTAAAACGTCTCAGTGCTTCATCACCAGAGCAAGCAACTCAATCAATCTTGATAGGACAGTCCCGCAATTTCTGTACCTTTATAAATTTATAGATAATTGCATATGTATTGTGATCTGGAATCACACTACCTCTTAGCATTTAAATATGGTGTTAGCGATCCAGAGTGATGCCGTGCGTGCTAGAGAAATTGCTATAGAACACAGCGCAGAAGCTATATACTAAATTCCCCTGAGTTATCAATATCGGTATATTTGGAACAAGCTCATTACTTGATCTATATTGAGTTGACGGCCCAAAGCTAAGAGTTGCTACTATTTATTAGGCGACGCTAGCAACACTTGATTTCGACATTGTTTTCGTTGTTGTTGTTTATATACGCATTATGTTAAACAAGGCTGCCATGTGATTTTTGGTTAATATTAATTTTTTTTTCAAATTGATGCGGTCTTGGAACTTGTATGTTTGAATGGAGTTTAGTTGGCTATACTTGAATTTTTATCGCAACAGGCGTATTGAACAGAATGTGTTCACTAAGCTCTTTAAAGAATATCGTATTGAAACCGCGTGCAAAGATCGAGAGAAGGAATCATGCAGGCATTGACGACCAATTATCATTTCCTTCTCATTCAGAAACACTGGAGATGAAAAATGTTTTTCTGAGTAAATTGAAGATATTCTGGACAAGTATAATGCTTTCTCGGTAGCCAATTCGTCCGCTTCCTATTATCATTCATTAATTTATATCTGTTTACAAATCAGCAAGTCGATACCCCAGGCACCCAACCCTTTGCGACATGAGTGGGCGAAAAAGCTTTGTAGCTTAACCCTCCAGGGCCCACCACGTTCTATATTTTCACAAATGGTAGATTTAACGTTTGCTTACGTTCGAAAACTCCATTTTATGTGGTTGACAGATCGATACATGTAAGTTGATCAAGGAAACTCACTCAATTACCTTTGTCAGGTGGAACTTAAACATTTGAAATGCATACATTTGTACATAATAAATTTGCCATTCTGTACCGCACTATACAGATGACGGCTTTATGAGTCGAGGTAAACCATGGTTGCAAAAATTATTTCTGAAATGGTCGACTCAGGTTCATAAGATGGTTTAGAACCTACCAACAACCGCATTATATGTTGCGTTACTATTATTCTTAGGTTTGTTAAATAGGGCTTGACTGCCCAGCGATTGAGCATGACATATATCACAAGGCCGCCCACGCTAAGTACAGGCACAGTATTTATCAGTTTCATGCAACTCCTGTACTTTGTATAAGCAAAACTAAAAGACGTGGAAACCATACATAGCGCGCTACTACACCTCTTTCAAACAGGCTAAATCCTTTTCAGATGTCGTTTGTCATGACGTACCTTTGAGTGAATTAGGGACCAACCTCCTCGAATTTTTAATTTTATTTTTGCAAGTTTTCTTGAGTTGTTAGAATATGCAATAGGTTGAAGTAGTAATGGATGTCTGCGGCAAACAATGGTATCGGCGCCAGCAAGTAAGTAAAACTGTTGTGGGTTTTTTGGTGCAATATTATAGCTCTTTTCAGGAACGAGACCTTCGTCCGGTTTAGCTGCTCGAAATTATTCGCACTGAGATTCTCCCAAATTATGCTCACCTAAAGAAACTTTGACGTTGAAAAGTCACAAAGCAGCTGAAAGGGACAGTGGCTGGGGTATAAGTGTTGAAAATGTGGCAATCAAGGCCCTTCTGTTTTAATATGCTGGAGGAACTTGCGGTCCCGACGCGAGAGCAGCAAGTCCAGGTCCCTGAATCGATGAACGTATGTCAGCATCGACCAAAACGCGTGATAAAGCGTATTAAAACAACAACTCTGCCATCTCTTCTAAATATCATAGCGTCTGTTTTAATCAGGTTGAAGGGCAGACGAGATTCCGAAACAACGGAGTGTGACCACGCCAAGGCCTGCTACACATGGGAGTGACTGCGCCCGCAAGTAACTAAGTCATCAATGTAAAAGAGAACCGTTTCCGTGCTTAAGGACTCGCGTATCTTGTCGGTTAGATTTTTAAGGAGGACTGAGAAAAAGAGATGGCTCAGGTTATCATTCCGCACTACATTTGTAGTCTGGTAAATGCTGGGAGCTTCGAGACCACATTATATTGTCGACTATCATTACTCCTCTTAACCATAAGGTTAAGCACATTTGTGGGAACGTTGATGTCGGGCAGTGCTTGAAGCTGAACTCCTCATGTCGGAGCCGAAGGCTACTTTGAAACTCACAGACATCACAAGTATACAGCCGAAGACTATTTAAAGTTCGTTTAATGATGGCGAATACTTTGCATGCTGTATCGGTCGAACGATAACTCATGAATGGATATTGTTCTTTGGCTATCACACATAAGCCTTCCAAGAATGCGCTTAGTCTTCTTACCAGCAGATACGAGAGAGATTTATAGGGTACGCTTTTCCTCAAGACCCTTTATAAAAACACAATATCGGCTTGCTTGAATCTCAAATTTGCCTTTGGAACGCAGTTCGGAACAATGATATACGTTGGACAAAGCAGACGAGACCAGCCATAAAGCGACCTCAAACCGTTCATTCCCAATCCAGTCCGGTCTAACTACCCTCTTTGAGTGTAGGCTCCTGAGCCCCTGAGTCACTTCTAGGTGTCGCTTGATGAGGGTATTCTGGCGAAACAGCTGGTAAGCACCGATGAACTAACCGGATATAACGAAGGCCTGCGTAGACCAGTCCATTTGTGTGACCGGCGGTCGACAACTCCTATAAATTATATAATGTTATATATGCATATAACGCTTAGGGAACTGTAGGATCCACTTTAAAAAGCTTGTATTTATTTATTTCTGGCGGATAAACAAAGGAAATTGTAGAATTTCAGTGGATATATTCAATTAAGGAAAATCTCCGATTCACGCTAATCTCGGTTTCTTGGACGACACCCCAGTGTCATCCTAGCTACCATCCTATTAAGATATATAGGCCGTACGAAGAAAACACGGTTTAAGAAGTCGAGTTTTCTGTCAATACTTTAGCTTGAGAAGCATATATCAAATGTTAAAATAGGTAATAAATACCTACATATGTCAATTTATATTTATTTATTAACATATAT